CCGACGATGGAGAGGCGTTTTCACCTTTGCAGGAACAGGCTGATGCACTGGGTAGACATTTTGCGCAGGTCTCCAGCTCTAAGAATTATACGGAAAAGGTTTTGCGCTTTAAAACCAAAGCTGAGAAGGTCCCAATGCGCCGATCTGATAGCTGTGCCGAAGAATATGACCGGCCTTTTACTCTTACTGAGCTGCGTCGAGTCATTGCCACAGCAAAAGCAACATCTCCCGGGGTTGACGACATTCATTACACTATGATTTCCCATCTGCCTGAAGCATTCCTCGTCATTCTCCTCCAGTTTTTCAATAGCGTGTGGGCAGAGGGGAAGCTGCCGAGCGTGTGGAAAAAAGCTATTGTCATCCCTATCTTCAAACCGGGAAAAGACAGAAGTAAAGCCTCAGCTACAGGCCTATAGCCCTAACTAGCTGCCTGGGAAAGACATTCGAGCGGCTGGTTAACAATAGGCTTATCTTCATTCTTGAACGGAACTCGCTTTTAAGCAATTTACAGTGTGGCTTTCGTGCCGCCAGGTCCACTGCCGACCACCTCGTACGATTGAAAACGGCCATCCGAGAGGCCTTTATAAACAAGCAGTTTTGCCTTTCAGTATTTTTTTACCTTGAAAAGGCTTACGATGCCACTTGGCGGTACGGTATCCTTCAAGACCTTATCAAGATGAATATTGGCGGGAATATGTTTAATTGCATCGCAGACTTTTTGCGGGATCGCACCTTTCAGATGCGATTGGGAACAACTCTTTCGTCATGTTTCATCCAGGAGAATGGAGTCCCACAAGGACGTGTTCTGAGCGTTAGCCTCTTTTTTATTAAAATCGACTCTCTGTCCCGAGCAATACCACCTTCGGTCTCCTACTCGCTTTATGTTGATGACGTCCAGGTCTGCTTTTCGTCATGTAATTTAGCTATCTGTGAGCGCCAAATCCAAGTAACCATTAATAAAATGAGTAAATGGGCTGATGAGAATGGTTTCAAGTTTTCTTCTGAGAAGACCGAGGCGGTTTGCTTCTCCCGGAGAAGGGGAATGTTTCCCGAACCATCGCTTCACATAAATGGCACACCCCTTCCCGTCCGACCGGAACACAGGTTCCTCGGTGTGACGTTTGACAGCAAGCTTACTTTCGGCCCCCATATCAAGGCACTGAAACTGAAATGCCAGCAGAAACTAAACATTTTAAAAGTTCTTTCACATCGCACCTGGGGCGCGGACAGGGTATGTCTTTTACGAATTTACAGGGCTGTAGTGCGCTCTACCCTGGATTATGGAAGCCTTGTTTACGGATCTGCGAAACCATCCACCCACAAGATGCTTGATCCCATTCACCACCAGGGGATCCGTTTAGCAACGGGGGCATTCCGTACGTCGCCGGTACTTAGCCTGTACGCTGAATCGCATGAGTGCTCGCTGGAGAGACGTGGACTTTTTCTCGCTGTTCAGTAATTTCTAAGACTCCGTTCTTTTCCGCAAAATCCTGCTTATGAAATAATTAAGAACATAAACCATGAGCGCTTATTTCAGCACAAACCATCTGTAACCCCTCCCTTTGCACTACGTGTAAGAATTGCTGCAGAATAATACAATTTTGATGCTCCCTCTCCTGTCCTTGAAATTCAACAAAGAAATGCACCCTGGAAAGTTGCCAATACTTGTTGTAATCTTTCTTTGACCAAGCACAAAAAAGATACAGTTGGCCCTAGTGTCCTCAGACAAGAATTCCTAGAGCTGTGTACCTCGTACAATGGCTACAAGCACTTCTTTACTGATGGATCAAAAACCACAGACTACGTTGGCTGTGCTGCTATCGGCGAAGGCTACAGATCTGTAAAAAGGTTAAACGAAAATGCCTCAATTTTTACTGCCGAGGTTTATGGTCTGATAACTGCAGTTGACCACATTGTCAGACATCGATATAGAAAGTCTGTCATTTTCTCCAACTTTCTGAGCTCACTGAAAGCACTCAACTCTCCAACATCTTGGAAGCACCCTCTGCTTGTGCAGCTTTGTAATACACTAACACAAGCACTGGCAAAGAAAATACAGATAGAATTCTGCTGGGTACCTGGCCATATTGGCATTGAAGGCAACGAGCTAGCTGACGGTGCAGCTTCTGCGTGTGTAGATAGGACAGTTGACCATTACAGCATCCCTGCTACTGATTACCGAGTACCACTAAAAAGGAAAATAAAATATGCATGGCAGAGGGAATGGGATTCCCAGCTGCAAAACAAACTCTATATGATTAAGCTCATCCTGAGCGAGTGGCGCAGTGCCAGACACCGAAAGCGTTTTTATGAGATAGTTTTATGCCGATTGAGAATAGGACATACTCACCTTACCCATAGCTACCTCTTGCGTAGGGAGAGTGAACCGACCTGTGACTTTTGTTCTGAACCATTAAGTATACTTCACATTTTGATAGTTTGTCCACACTTTGAAGAGAACCGTCGAACCTGTGTTTCTATATTCTATCGGGAACATGTACCATTTCACTTGGCTCTTTTTCTGGGTGACGAGCCTCTTGTCCCAGTCTCACAACTTTTCAATTTTTCGGAAGAAACTAATATTCTGCGGAAATTATAAGTCTAGTTCCTAGTAAGGTCCGCTTTGAGGCTTTAGTCAGTCCGAAAAGAATGTAGGCCTCCTTTACACAATGTTTCTGGCGCACTATGGCCCCGATGCTGCTGCGCCAAAAAAACCCAAAACCAAAACCAACCTCTATCACTACTAATTCTTGTCTTCGAACTTGAACCTCCCTGCTTCGCATTATTACGAATGATAATATCCGAGGTTATACCCTTTGCTTCGCAGAGGTGAAGTTACTAACGTGTGTTGATGAGGTGCCGCTTTTCTGTTCGAATGAGAAGAGGGTAGAAAAAGGCCTTCAAATAACAGGAGAACTGCGACCCAACTGGAGGGAGAATGAACACAGGAAAATCTAATGGCTTCTTCATAGGCGCTTGCGCAACCGTGCCAGGACAGTTTGCTGAGTTATCATGGAAGCGCTGTCCCTTCATGTATTTCGGCGTTGCTCTAGATCAGGGGTCTCCCGCCGGCCCGCGGCTTGCCACGGTACTTCCAGGGATGCCCTCCCGAGGCCCGCTTCCGGCAAGCCTGCTGCTACCGACGCAAAAATAAGCTCGCTTTAATTAAACGCCGCCACGACGCGCAGCAAACGCGCACATGAAGATAGCAGAAAGGACGAGAACTAATAGTTTTCTATACTTTAAATTTTCATACTTATATTCCGTCCCTCGAAACTGCGACCGACATCCCAATACGGCCGCTTAGCCAAAACGTCTAGAGATCAAACAAGATTCGATAATCTATATTTAAATTCCGTTGTAACTGAGATTAAGCAAAAAATCATTAGTATGGAGGGCACTATATATTTCAATCTTCGCAAATGCAGTGGTGTGCAACATTTTTTAAAACTATCTAAACTACTGTGTGTCTCAAAAGGTATGACACCGTTACCGTCCAAAGGTACAAGCTTTCCATAGAACATTTGGGACCTATATTTGGAGCTCAACTTGGGAACGGATGAAACGCGATTACTTATTCATGTCGTTGCAAGCTGGTGGCTTAGGTCTGGCACATTTATTAGTTCGCCAAATCGTTTTGCGACTTTTTTTTTAAATTTATCCGATCCTTTCCTGCTTAGGATCGTTAAAACAAAAGCTGACACATCACTTGCCCTCCATGGTTAATTCGACAACGAATTCTGCTCCAGGACAACGCTGAGGCTTTTGGAAAGAGGTAGTTAATACCTTTATGTTTTTAAAATTCCGCTTTTCATTAGAATACCTATTTGAAGTATCAAGAAAACGGCTATCACAATTTCTGAATAAAATTTTCTTTCCTATTCCACTATCAATGGACACGGTTTAGTGACTGTAAACGACAACATGTATTAAAACGAGCAAAGCGAATGTGTATATTTCAGAGCGCTTAAAAACGTTTTTCTTTCAGTTAAAGACATCAACGCTTCTATAACATCGTGGATCCAAGAGTGTGGTATTTTGTACCATGGTCAATTGATTGTCGATTGTGTCACCCACCGGAAACATTAGAGCACTGCTTATCTACTGTACAAATACCGTTTTCGTCTCGAATGTCTTCCAACAACCTCTTAAAAAAGATACAGACTTTATAAAGACCATAGTATTCGTTTTTTACGCATACCTAGTGAGGCAAACATTTCCTTTAATTTATTTATGCCGATAGGCCTCCACAGCATCTGGAAATGCCCGAAAATTGATAGGAACGCTGACATATTACGCACCAGAAAATCTATTTTTGTATCAGATATTTCGAAAGTATGAAGTGTTTACGAAGCTCAACAACCAATACCTGAATGGTTTGTACTGTTCGATGCGTGTTTAAGACTTCCTGACTTTCCAGGTTACAGTCTGCTTAGAACTGTGGCGTTTGTTTGTGAAAGAGCGCTATAGGACTGCCGTTTAGGCAGACATTCCGCTCAACTTTTCACCCCATATCTAACACTCTGTACATAATCATCTTTTCACCTTTTAATCTTGTAGCCTTAATTTGTAACCTAACTTTCCATGTAATAAAGACAATCAAAAAAGTGTCTGCGTGGCATAGTGGGTATCGAGTCTGGTTTGTATAGGAAAGGTCGTGGGTTCAATCCCGATCCGACTAATATGCTTCGAGGTTTCTTTTCTTTAAGGCAAAGTAATTGTTTATCGAGCAATCAGAATTTTCCCGTTCCACTGACGCCGACGTCGACACCGACGCCGAATTCTCTGCGTCCCGCGCTCCTAAACGCTATCGCGTTAACAAAAACAAAAGGCGCGATGCTCTGTTATGAGGCGCACACTGTTGTGATGTGTAAGCAGTGCGACCATGAGTTAGGCGAAATGGCGGCTCCTATCAAATTCGAACCCAGATCTCCCTATCATACTTTTTTTCCCCAATATAAAAGTTCCCGGGTATTTAGCATTTTTGCAATCCTTGGGAGGTATAAGTCTAGCGGTTTAATATATACATATACATACTTTCTTCTTTTAGGCAGCGGCACCCTATTTGACCTCGAAGATGTTATTTACCAAATCCTCCTGCGAAGTTGCTCTTACAATGAAAGGCTGGCAACTTTTGATGTCACTGGAGATAACAAAACCCGAGGTCCCATTGAAAACCTCGTCAAGTACGTTATGCTACTATTAATTCCGAAAAAAATAAATTACAGAACAAACTAAGGTTGATTTAAATTGAAATCAGTGATGTTAACAAGTTTCAACGCCAAACTACAGATCGCTATTTGTGACTACTAAAAATGTGTTTCAAATATTCCTGTGCGCGAATTTGTTTGTACCGTGTCATCTGCTTATCCTTGCTAGTAGCGCCGAAAAGCAGTAAGTGAATTCAACAAAAAAAAAAACTGCTTTTATAATTTGCGTTTGTCAGTAGACATGTTGTCAATTAACAAAGGTGCATAACAGTGAAAAACGCTCACCGCTGGTGACATCGTTGATGTTAGAAAAGCAACGCAAGTAACACAACGTGGAAACCCCGAGAGAAGCCACAACTGCCAAAAATTCTTAAGGTTCGCTTCGTTTCTTCGTCATTTCTTCAGCAAACCGGTAAATTTTTGGTGTCTTACGCTTCTTCTTAGAAAATGCTAAATTTTTTAACAACTGAATCTTACAATATCCGAGACCATTCAATATATATACGTTGCGCTTATTAATTATTGTTTAGTTTGAATTAAATCCTATCTTAAAATGTACCTCTGTACTCTACAAAGATCTAATCGTAAAATAACAGTTCGGCGTTCTTTGGCTGGTTCATATTTAGTGCCCTAAGAAGTTATTTAAAAGACGCCCTAAAAGAGTTATTCGTGAAAAATCTATAAGGGGTTCTTAAGCTCCTCTCTTGTTGCGAAAGAGTTCTTCGTCGCCCAGTTGACATTCTAGCATGTCAGAGTGCGAGAGTATTTGAGGCGGAACTTTCTTGACGACTTGAAAGAGGTCTTGATGCGTCGAAGGTCCTTTGAAAAACCGATTTTGTTTGTAGAGTGTATTGCATAGATTATCCAAGGAAGCTCTCGGATCATTTGGACGGTCCTTGCAACATGTGCGAATCAACACGGTATAATTCACAGACTAAAGCCGGGGTCACACTGCTCATACATCCTTCAAAGACAGTTTGCAAACACGAGTCATCGCTATAACCTTGGCTCGAATGCCGCCTTCCAAGTTTTACCCTTGAACTCATTGCCATGCGGCATTCGAGGCACGGATTCGCGGTGACGAGCGTTGGAATCTGTATGCACGCTGTTTTTTGTATGAAGTATCAGCTGTGTGACCACGGCTCGAAGAATAACTCTGGTCGAAAACGAAAGCAGAATAAATGACTGGTGTCACTTTAGTAGCATGAATGTGATAACAGCCGAAATATTACCTCAAAGGGGCGATACAAAAATTGTTTGTACTTTGCGCAAATGAGGCTTAGAACGGATCCCTGACGTTAATGACCTATGATACACGCGTTCGTTTATAACCCCGCGCAATAGAAGTCCCAGAAAAAAAATTAAAGAAAAACGAGCAGCGTTCACCTCCTCAATTCGCAGCCAGAACAAGCGGCCGCGTGATCTGGAGCCGATTATATGCCACCAGTGTTGATCATAGTCACGCGCTGGGGTTGGCAAAGCACAGGACACGCGCTGAGTTCCAGACATTGTCATGGCCCGGCTATTGTCGTCGTTGCAGCGATTGGACACGGGTCAATACCGAATGCTCCTCGAGCTAGAAATTATCACGGGCCCAAATCGAGTGCCCACGCAATGCTCGGGTCCAATCTATGGGCCGCATTTAAATATCGTCATTGGGGTGCATTGCGATCCCCGCGTTACGTCATCAAATTTTGCAAAGGAGAGATTAAATGAAAGTGATCGCTTTTGTACTTGAAACTACACCGCAACAGAGGACTTTCTGGGCCAGTGGCGTAGCCTGCGAGTATCCTCGAGTCGCACTAGTGCCAATAAGTTTGTGCAAAGTGAAAAACATTCTAAGCGAATATCGTTTCACCGCTCCTTTAAAGTGAAACCGCGTACCCCACAAAACCCTACTTTAAAGATGCGACCAGCTGCTCTTCAGCTGGCGGCAAGCGCGTTACCTTTTAGTTAAGTAGCACTGGCGCAGCACATTTGTGACGTCATGTCGCAGTAGAGCTGCGGTCGCTTGGTTGTACCCAACGTTACTAGATTGTCTCAGTTGTGAAACTCCCCCGGAAGGGGGTACCCCCCCTCCCTCACTTCAATCCGCCTGCCGTCGTTCGAAGCGCCATCTAAACTTTCGTCTCACAACTGTGCGTTCCATAGAGCAGAGCTGAAACACCATCTAGACGCCGTGCTTCGAAACGTACGTATCGCATAGAATGCACTGCAGTTACCAAAGCAGCCGTCCGGCGCGTCAAGCTACGGCAGGCGAGTCGGGGTGAGTGAGGGGGGGGGGGGGGGGGGGGGGGGCTTGGCACTGCTCGTGGCTTGCAGCATCTATGAGCAGGTCCGTAACTTAGCTAATCTAGTAACGTTGGTTGTACCCGTTGTACCACGTACCACAACCCCCTTCTGACATCACGTCGCAGCCGGGTGGATGGATAAACGTTAAAGAGGCCCTCCGGAGCGTTCTCCGATGGTCTATTTATGGCGGTTACTCAATCTACAGGCCCTAAGGATCCTAAAAATCATAAAATTACGGTCATGCGCGGCGAATTTCCCTATTAAAATTGCTATCAAAGTCCCCGGCACGCCCCCCTTTCTGAGATGACCCCGGAAAACGGGAGGGTCATCTCTTTACGCGTCAGCCGATAAGCGAAGGATTCCGGCGTCACTGTGCGTCACCAACGCGGCCGACCGCCGACCCGCGGAGGGATCTCTCCGGACTTTGTGCTCGGCAGTCGTCGTTCGTCGCACCGCACCGTCGCGCTGCTATTGCAACACGCAGTCGCATTCCACAGATGACAAGGAAAAGTTTGATTCGTTGACATGGAGGGCTCGCAAAGCTGGCTCCGGAGTCGGGATCCACGAGAAGAAGGAGCACGTGTCCCGCAAACGCACGCCTGCAGACGCCCCGGGAGGCAGACGAGCCGACGCGCCGACGCATCACCCCTTAGCAACAAGCTTGCGGGGAGAAAACGTAGTTCGCTTGTTTTGGAGCGATAATTGCGGACTATGTTTCCCGCACCACAATCAGTTTACGTTTTTCTCAAACTCTACTTTACAACAAGCTTAAAAAGTGTTGCAATAATAACGTGCACGCTCTTTAAACGGACCACCAAATTCGGTTTCCTAACTTATTTCGCTGGGATTTAGTGCAGAAGGTGCCTGAAGTTGGTGGAAGCTTTCACCGAAATTGTGAGAAGATTGGGTCACCTGAGTGAATCAAGAAAAATCAAAACCTATGTTTTCCTTATACTTTGGATATACAGTAAAACTATTATATGTTACTCTTCCGTTTATTTAGGCTAAATTATGTGAAGAATAGGTAAGCAAATTCTATTTTGTTTACATTTCAAAATGTTTTCATCAATAGCATACGTCAGGATATCCCACAACGATTTTCTGATGATTTTGAGATAAAAAGGCTCAGCCATAATTTTTCCGTAGACAAAACAAGTTTTTCTTTTGTGTTTGTTTCACTGCGGAGGTTTTATGTATTTATACTTTCATTTGTTGAATACACCAGCTTCGAGCACCTCTGTAGTAAATTCAAGCGCGATAAGATAAGAAACCGGTTTATGCGGTCAGTTTAAAGTGCGTTCAATTCATTTCACCCACGCGGTAATTATGAATGTAATTATTTACTACTAATTAAGGTTTCCATCTGTGAAATAAAGTATCATCTGACGAACGGTATTACAGTAACTGATAAAAACTACCGCTTATGCTAGCTTTAATAGCGTCGGCGGTACTACGGAGATTAATCTTATCAACGGCGAGGGGCAGCAGTAGCCATGCCTTGAAGTGTTATCGCGATGCAGATTAAAGCTACAGCTTTAATCTGCATAGCTTTAGCTTTAATCTGCTCGATTAAAGCTAAAGCTACAGAGGGCGCTGTGGTCGCTGCAAACGTGGTGAAAGAATTATCTGCGGGATCTTTTCAAGCATACTCGAAGAATGTCTGCTTTGCACATATGCAAAACATGTCTGCCAACAGTTTGTTTAGGGCCCGTGTCACAGTACCGCCATTCAAAAAAGAGGCCTTAGACTGTGTCTCCAGATATAGTTTTATAGGCGGCGTGAGCGCAGCTTAACGATACAGTTTTTCGATGCAGGTACACACCAGTCAAGATCAAAGTCGGCCCAGTGGTCTACCTCGCCGCCAAAGTACAGTCTCTAAAGCTGTCTGCTGTATACGTGCAGATATTTCACAACAACCAGTCTGGCGAGGAGGGTAAGGCGTACATATCGGAGCAAGTAGAACACGAAGACGAGTATACGTGGTCCGTCACCAAGGGGGCTGATCTCACCGTTAAAGCCAAGTTCAGTATAAACGTGCCACTAATTTATCAGTTCTCGACAGAATTTTCGACAACACTCAAGACAAGCTCTGGATCCACCAGGGTGGAAACACGTACTACGCGACAACTGATTAAACAAGATATAAAAATACCCCCCGGAGCCACTATCGAAGCCAAGTGGTACGTCAACGAAGCACAAGTGGTGCGTACGAGTCGGTATTTTTTGTTGATATTTCGCTTAAAGGTTGGTCAAATATCACACTGTGTCTATAAATACACCGGGTTTTTTTTTAGCCTCCTTTCTGGGGAGTGACGGTGATAAGGTCAGAACAAATCTGTGAACGCGCAATAAAAGAATTATAATTGCTTGCACATCGAGACGCCACGTGGAACCAACTTTTCGCAAATATTCTCGCATTTTATGTTAATGAGCGGCAAAACCTTTTTTTTCTATGGGGAATTATTATCAAAGACACAGACAATCAGAACCAAAATGTTTATTCTACATACAAACAACTTTAGAAGGATTGTCCAGTGAAAGCCGGAAGTTACTCAGTTTTCGGGCTGGTCACGTAGAGAGGGCCTAAGCATAGTAAAATGTGATATTTATTTAATTAAAACCCATATTTGTTAAATAAATTATTAACATCAATATGAAACGTGACGCCAAATTTCGCAAGTGTGCATGGCTTCTCGTCTCGTGACTTGACATCAGGCATGGTAATGTCAAAGCCGCCGACGTAGACTTACTTCTGGTTTTGATCAACATGGTGGATTATGCGTACAAAGATCGTTGTCAGAAAATATTGGTCTTTCCTCCATACCGTAAATATTGCCTTTCTTAGGAGCACGTTATTTTACTGAGACAGCAGTCAAGAGCTGCCGTGGCTCTCTCGCCGTGATGTTACGTCAGAGCTTCCGCATTGGCCAACAAAAAACGGTGTGCGTTTCGTGGGTGCAATCTGAGCATTTGGGTGCTGTATAAAATTGAACTACTTGTGCTGCGAAGTATGAAAAATTCGGATATTGTGACCATGATATTCCTATAAGCAATGACAATATAAACATTTGACCGGAAAATCCCTCGAAGTAAATTTTTATGGAGATCGTTCAACCTTCCTGGCTACCTAAAATAAACCATCACGTAGCTAACAGCGTAAAACAAAACGGCACCAGTCTAACACTAGATTCATAAAAAAAAAAAAGTCAACTGAATGCACACCCGCAATAAGAAGGCTTGTAACCAGGATAATATGTAGGTTTTCTTCGCGTCGGTAATGTTTCCCGGCACTATAACGGATTGTCCAGGACAGAAAGACCACCGCCATGTTTAGCTATGAGGCTGCTTATAGCGGTGCACAGCTGGTGGTTTCATAATCGCCTTTGAGATTTCTGGAGTTTGACTTTCCAGAGAACGCTACTTTTTTTTCGTAGCTCTTGTGATCTCGCAGAAAATGTGTTTTCTTCAGGTACTTTTTTGCCCTCGCATTCTTGGCGTATTTTGATCTGAACTACCCAAAAGAGTTTAGGTAGAATAGACGAATATATGCGTGGGTTCTCGAAGACTTGCTTTGGATGTGTAAAGCCTGGGTCCCACTGCTGATACAAAAGACAATCTGCAAATACGAGTCACTGTGACATCCGGGGTTCGAATGCCACGTGCAAAGCTTTATCCTTGAAATCGTTGCCATTCGGAATTCAATGCACGGATCTCGCGGCGACTCGCGTTGGAATCTCTCTGCAGACTCTCTTTTGTCTGATGTATGATCAGTGCGAGTCTGACTTAACACATCATTCAAAGGACAGTGTGCAGGCACTGTCTGAGGCTTATGAGGGACACATTGGGCGCACAAAACCTGCCTGGACATGTACGAAGCAAATATGCTCCCTACATGATTCAGGTGTACCTTCAGGTAATCGTGTCATCATGTGGCAGCGAACAGTCTTTATTTTGTGATATGTACGACCATGTCTTAACGAGGCTCGACGTATTTGCCGCATGACCGGAGGCTCGCCTGCGGAGTCCAGTTTTCATGTAGAAAGTAAGTCATTGTGGGGTGCGCAAGGGTCGTTTAGGCCGGGGCAGCGCAAAGGCACGTAGGAATCCCCGTCTGTGTGGAAAAGTGCATTTTGCGCATATTTATTTGTTTTGCTGGCTCGATTCCTTCCCCATCATTCATATCACGCCACTCAAACTTCTGGTAACCCGCCGCGAGCAAAGCGCCCGCAATACAACATCTAACGTCACATTTACAGTGTTGCCATTAAAGTTTTCTAAGCCGGGATCACACTGCTTATACATGGTACAAAAAAAACTGTCTGCACACAGATTCGAACGCGAGTCACCGCGAGAACCGTGCTTTGAATGCCGTATGGCTATAAGTTCAGGGAGGAACCTGAGGACGTGGCATTCGAACCAGGGATATTGCGATGACTCGTGTTTGCAGAATGTATTTTGTACGTGCAGTGTGACCCCGACTTTATCCTCTTGGAACAAACTTAAAATATACAATAAATTAACAAAACAAAAATTATTGTGACTCGTAATTCGTATTACTTGTTTAGATCTATATATTAACGTGTTGCATTGATTTTGAGGAAAATCAGCGACAATCAATATTTTGCCTTACTTCGCTGACGATTTAATCGAAACTTGGGTGACACCATATGTCTGTGTCTTCAATATGTTGCATCTTTACAGGTGGTGCCATGGGTAGCCGACATCTTGATGGAGGGATACGTTGCAGCATTATTTGAAACGCCCGACAAGAAACTAACATGGGGGTACTTAAACGTGCAAGAGTTCGAACACGACCACCTAACAAAATACGAGGAAGGCGTCACGTTTCAGGCATTGGGGCTGTTCCAAGCGAACGTAGCACAGAGCTACCACCTCTCTACCACCCAGAGAAAAATAGCGCAGCGCACCACAAGCATGGCCAAATATACTTTTGAGCAAGAAACCTCATGAACCACGACCGAGCGGATGGAAACAAGTTTTCGAAATAATAATAAAAAAAACCAATGAAAGCCGTTCTAATCTTCACTTTTTTTGCGAGTAAGCGGGAAAAGAAACTGAAAAAGTTTTGTTGATCCCTTGAAGGTTATTCCGGTCTTTAAGTCTGGAGACGTATTGCTTGCTAATAACTACCGTCCAATTTCTCTAACAAGCATACCCTGCAAACTTCTGGAACATGTGATCTACACCCACCTCGCTAATTACCTTTTAGATACTAACTTCTTTTTCCCGAACCAGCACGGTATCCGAAAGGAACGATCTTACGAAACTCAAGTATTTGAATTCATTACCGATATACATGAGAACATTCACTCACGGGTGCAGGCGGAAGCTATTCTTGTCGATTTCACAAAGGCGCTTGACTGAGTCCCGCACCAACGCCTATTACACAAAAATAGAAACATTAAACATTCACCAGTCTCTTGGTCACTGGATCAGGAAATTTTTTTCCCTTAGAACTCAATCCGTTTCAGTGTCCAACGTCTCTCTCACGAAATTTCGGTGAAATCTGGAGTCCTTCGGGGATCGGTCCTTGGTCGCTGCTTTTCTTAATTTATGTAAATGATCTTCCTAACTCTATTTGTTAGAAAATTAGACATTTTGCGGACGATTGCGTAATATATAGGCGTATCGTCTCAACAGAGGACAGCCTCACCCTGCAGCGTGATCTAGATTCTCTATTCCCATGATGTGAGAAATGGCAAATGACCGTCAATATGTCGAAAACTAAATTTCTTACCTTTTGTACGAAAAAAAACACGACAATTACCAACAACTACAAAATAAGCGGCTATAGTCTTGAAAAGGTTACGAATTATAAATACCTCGGTGTTACACTAACTGAAAATCTGGGTTGCAAAATGCATATCGATTCTATCGTTAGTAAAGCAAATCGTACCTTCGGTTATTTCAGAAGAAATTTGTATATGGCATCCTCTGATGTATGTTTGCTGGCCTACAAGTCTTTTATTCGTTCGACGGTCGAATAAGCTGGAATATTTTGGAATCCCTGGGAAGACTACTTAAATAAGAAACTCGAATCTGTGCAAAAGAGAGCCGTTCGTTTTATTTTTAGAGGCTGCTCTTTTTCGTCAAGCGTGGCAGCTCTCAAGTCCAAAGCTTGCCTTACATCACTATGCTCTAGCCGCAAAGTATCACGCCTCCCATTTCTCCACCGAGTTTCCTACCATAATCCGTATCTTAAAACTGTGATTCTACTGCCCCTCTACCGATTTTTTTTCTCGGTCGAAGAAAATCAGGTTGCCATCCAGTCGCACAAAAATGTATTTCGAATCTCCTTTAAACCTAGTTATTGGCGAGTGGAATAACCTACCTGAAAGCGTGGTGAGCAGTCCTGTTTGCGTTTTATTTACAAATGCTTGTGAAGACTCATTCTGCTAATTTTGTTTGTATACATGCAATTTGAATGAGCAGTTACCCTTTACTTTTTATAGTTTTATGTAATCCCAATTTTCGATTTTTTTATTCTTGCGTATTTTGTGTAATACAACGTGTTTGCATTTTTTTCTCCCCCTCGTGTAATGCCATCGGGCGATTCGAGGTAATTAAATGAAATGAAATAGGCGCTGCCACCGTCAACATAGGCAGTGGTTACAATGCGAGTTTCCGAAGTGGTAGCGAAACTTAGTTGTAAGATGTCTGCCTCATACGTAGCAGACCCGGGTTTTATTCACAGTGTGGGCTGACTCTTTTTTTTTTCCTCGAATTTTTTGTTTTGTCGAGGCATTTGGCGATATATATGAAGTCTCTTTTTTACGATTGACACTGAAAAAGAAATGAAAGTTGTCGACGAAACATTGGTGAACTAAATCGCATGGGACTCTATTTACTGATGTGCATGGGGGACAGCGGGGCTTGGGTTGCCGGCGGCGAAGCGGCGTGTACTGGGGTAGAAGGGGGGGGGGGAGGGGGGGGGGGCTAAGTGGGTTAATAGTTTGCGATTAGCAGCCGTACACTGTCGCCATGAAGCGGCGTGAACGCAGGCGCGGGGGGGGGGGGGGGGGGTAACGCGCTTCGAGTGATACACACGCCGTCCGAATCTGAAATTTAAGGTCCCGCGCGTTGCCGAGCAGCCACTCCGGCGTGAGCGTCATTGCTAGGGGGTCTATCACCTCCGCCGTAAAAGTTAGTGGTGGACCGAATCTGCCGAACTTCATTTCGGCGAAGTTCCTCGCATGCCGAAGTTTAGAAAGAAAGTTCGGCAAAGATTCGACAAAAATTCGGGAAATGTCTGCGCACGCGCACGAACGGGACGGGGCCACGGATCGCAACTGGACGCCGAGCAGTCGCGCGATTACCATCGTACAGTTTACTACAGCCAAAGGTTCCTGCGAGGTGTGGAGTAGGCGACACGGTAACTGTGCGTTTGTGACCTTTTGTGAGAATGGTTCTCTTCAATATTGTCGGCCTCGAGAACAGAAGATCGACCAGCAATTCACGCAGTCCACTGCGCAAGTGACAAATGATGCGGTGCATTCTGGATAACGGGATTTTAATTTGACCTTTCCATTGATGGAACGAGGTAGTTGAAACATTGACTGACAACTTACAACTACGCTCAGTATTCGCAGCCCACTGCCGTCATACGGGGCAGAGTCACGAGAGCTTGCCAGAATGTATGGGATGCAGCTGGCATCCTCGACATAATGTGATACATGTTTTCCCCCTTCTTTTCTTTCCTTTTTACGCACTTTCTGTAGTGTGTATTTTCTGTACATTTATATATCGGTTTTGTTTTTTTACATGTGGCGGCGGGCTGGAAGGCGCTCTGCCTAAGGGTTTTCACCTATCTGCCTAGCCCGGCACACCACCACATGGGCCCCTTCCAGGATGAGCAGATAGAATTAATATTATTATTATTATTATTATTATTATTATTGAAGTGAAGAAGAAGATGTCGCCGGAATTGGTCGTTCTTTTTGATCATACTGAATATTTCTCTTTACGTTCATGGGTTTCGTCGATGTAAGACCACTGGTGACGTCTTACAATCTGCACAAGGCGGAGCAAGTTCCTGGATCTGTGGCCCGAAGCTCTTTCAAATAATGGCGAATTCACTGGTCGTTTTGGAGCGCGCCGGGATCGACTTTTCTGGAGCGAGCCTATTTCACTGGGCGATCGGGATCGAGACCGACGTGTTTCACTGGTCGTTTTGGATTAGCTCCCGCTCCAGATCTCTATCTGGATCCGTGAAAAGTCGCTCCCACGATTTCGGCGGATTCAACTGGAAGCCAGCCGGGCCAGCCCTCGGCGCACACACCTGACTTCCTTTCTCGTAGGGCATCTCGCCTGATCTCGCCCATCTGGCGAGATCAGGCTGGGCTCCTAGATTGTCTCGACATCAGAAGAATTCGTAATGGCCGCTTGCTTACCCCTTGGCTCGACAGCCGGTTCGTTTTCCAGGAAGGAAAAGAGAAGGTATTCGGCCGCGCTACGGGCATTCCGGCAATCTTTGCTAGAAGCGCCTGAGCCATTCCTGCCGCTCGTGCGTCGAACACGTGTTAGCGCCGCGATTGCGAAAACGTTTTCAAAGCGACCGCGGCGGCCGCGGAAAGGGGATTCCTGGGAAAGGCATCAGCCGATCCCGGAGCAGTGGTCATGTTCCATTTTGATCCGTAGGCGGCGTGACCCCGTTCGGATCGTGTGGTCCAGTCCGGATCTGGTGAACTGATCCCGGCGCGCTCCAAAACGCCCAGTGGAATTCGCCATAAAGCGGCCGACATTATCGTCTGGGGCAACCGCTCGACCACCTCCATGCTCGCCATCTTGATCGTCATCCTAATTCGACGGCCGGCCTTGTCCTTTTGAGGGTACTTCAGCGCTGGGCTTGCAGCCGGGCCTTTGGATACACCTACTCGGCGCAAACGTTAACGCAAACTTCAGCGCAGGGTCTTAAGTGCCCTCCTGATTCTATGCAACGTGGTGTGTTTGTACTCTACGGTTACGTTCGGTGAGCCGGCGTTTTCTTTACTGGATCTTTTGGCTGCCCTTCCTTATTGTGGCCACTGGGAAATGTCCGCTTCGCAACGTGGGATGGCTTCCCCCTAGCAAGCGATTCGTCTTTATGCTACGCTTGTCAAAAGGCTGTGCCTTCAGACGGACGAGTTTTGAGCTGTTCTTAGGGTCACGGTGCCTATCATCTTGCACCAACGTGCACGGGAGTTGTGGACGCTGCGTTCAATACCATGGGCAAGGCAAAAAGGGAGAGTTGGGTGTGTCCCAAATGCCGCGCTATGAAATACAATAAGAACGGCAGCTTTGGTGGTGTGGTTACAAGTACGATGATTAACGAAGACAACCTGACTCTCCAACTGAGTGCGATCGATGACAAGCTGCACGTGCTCTTCCCTTTGAAAGAAAAGGTTACTGGGTTGACGCAACTTCCAGCAAAAATGAACGATTTATAATAAAAGCAATATTTACACATCACAGTGAAAGTAATTGTCAAAACGTTACCTGAGACGATGAGGGGCCTCGAGAAGTCGTTGGAGTTCTCCGGGCAATACGATTCATTGCTGGCACTGGTAAAAGTCAATGTTAGTGAAATAAAAGATCTGAAAAGTGAGGTATGCGTTCTGACATCAGCAGTAACCGAGCAGAGGTCCGAAATACGCCGATTACAGGCAGAGTTGAATGACTCCGATCAGTACAGCCGATTAAGCCACATGGAAATCCGCCGACTACCTTACCAACCAACCGAGAACGTCAGGGGTTTGGTTGACAACTTGGCTTCTTTAAGGACTTTCAACCCTCTGACATAATGACGGTTCATCGCCTGCCTCCGAAGAAGGATTCTAATTTCGCTCCTCTAGTGGTTGTAAGGTTTAATTCCGTCACCAACAAAGAGACCTGGATAGCAACGCGGGGCAAACTGAGATCTCTGCCCGGCTTCCCTATACTATACTTTAATGAAAACCTCACTTGAATCAACA